GACTCTCTGCTCCTGGGATTCTCTGTTTCTCTTGGCTACAAGTGGTTTCTTAACTGACAGAGGCTCGAGATAAGGATGAGTGTCCCCACTGGGTCTATAGCTGTGTCTGTGCCAGAGGCTCCTGTCAAGGCTCTGGGCCTGCTCCATGATGTCTGGGTGGCTTTTGTTCAGGTTCTTCAACCCTTGGCACTCTCTAGAGGCTGTAGTTCCCACTGAGCACATAACAACACAGTTCCACACCTGACTCTCCTCTTCCTACTCAAAGAAAGCAAGTAGTGACTAGTCCAGGCAAAGCCTAGACTTACCTGGGAGGTAAGATGTACTCTCACCTTCTCTCTGCCCATTCTCTGCCCCTCTCACTGGTCACAGAGCCAATGGACATACACAGGATTTTCTTAATATAAAGAAATGAGACTTGTCTCTTGGTTGTAGCAAAGATCTCTCCACAGAATTGAACAGCTGAAGCCTCATCCTCCCCACCCCTATAACCAAGCTGGGAATTTCTTCATTCTTATTATCACTAAAAGAAAAATCTCCACATGTTTACAGTTTTTTCCTCTTGTCTTCCAATATATAATGATTTGTGAAAGCAAAACCACACACTCTTAAGTAACCAAAGACAAGGAAGGGAATCCCAAGGAAAACTAGGAACTATTTTCAGATGAATGAAAAACCACACAATATTCCTTCGGGACCTGGTAACACCACACACAAGTAAACTTACAGCTATGAAACATATTTTAATTAAAAATTAATCCCCCAATTTCACATGGTTAGGAAGAAGGAAGAAGGACAAACCAAACCTCTTCCCACAGAAGGAAGGTCAGAGCAGAGATGACAAACCAGGGAGAGAGAGAGAGAGAGAGAGAGAGAGAGAGAGAGAGAGAGAGAGAGCAAAAGGTTGGTTCTTATTTGGCTCTAAGAAGAAAGAGAAGGCCAATACTGAGTTGGAGGTTGGGACAGAGCAGTTAGCCAGACAGAAGGAAAGACAGCCATTCAGAAGGGCGTGGGAGAAGCAACTCTGTCCCTAGGCAACAATGCCATAACTCCCATAACAATGCACACAGCTCCTAGGAATTAACGAAAAACCTTTGGAATTCAAGATCCACACACAGAACCTGCTGTATTTCTATGGGCAAGCACTGGGTGATTAGAAATGAAAATTAAGAAAATCTTAATTTATAGTAACTTTTTTATTTTTATTTTTGAGACAAGGTCTCTCTCTGTCATCTCTGTGGGTTTGGAACTCACTAGCTGGTCTTGAACTTGTGATAATCCCCCTGCTCTAGCCTCCTGAGGGCTGGGAGTATAGGCATAAGCCATCACACCTGGCTATATTAATATTTAAAATGAAAAGAAGAACTTAAGAAAAAAATGTAAACAAGGAGGCCCAAGACTTCTGTGTTGTCAACTATAGGGGATTCTGGGGAACCAAAGATTTCCGTACATGAAAAGGAGGCTGTGTCGGTAGACTTGGACTGCTTCCCTACATGCTCTGTGGCCATGTCTTCCCCACTGTAGGATGAACTGAAATGACCAGACAGACTTTCCAAGGCCAGTGCTCTTCCTTCATCTTTGGCCCAGAGCTATGAATGTATGTGGGTACTTGACCTGTTCCTTCATGGGGTTTTACCCTCTGATAACTTGCCTCTGGGACATAAGCTCCATGCCTGAGTATCCACTTGCATTGCCCCAGGCAGGATCCTGTCAGCAGCAGGGCTGGTCATGCCTTCTACAAGACACACCACTATTGCAGAAGAGACCTCAGTTGCTGCTTCTCCGCATACCCAGGGCCACTCTCTGAGGGTTTGGCTGCTCATTTGTTGCTCAGGGTGCCCCTTAATCTTCTCTGTGTATTAGCGTGTGTTAGTGTGTGTGTGTGTGCACATGCATGCATGTGTGTACACACATGTACTCGAATGTACATCTTGAGAGTAAGGGGAGATGAGACCAAGTGAATCAGTATTTAAAATCACAGAATCCCTGCTGAGAGTCTAGATTTTTTTGTTGTCATGGAAACTACCAACCTCCATCATGGTTGAGGAACAAATACTTGGTTTTAACCTTGGCAATGAGACCCACTAAGCTGCTCTCTGCTAGGCCTCCATGGATCCCTCTCATTCCTTGAAACAATCCCAGCATACGTGTGGAGGCTCTAGAGAGTCAGAGCTGTCTGACCTCATGTTATCAGCCAATGACACGGCCTGCATAGCATCTAGCACTAACACCGAGGGCCTCAGCCTTGCTCACCACTCACTGCCCAAGTCCTAGGAATCTGCTGTGGCTCTATTTTTCTTCAACATTTCCCTGAGGTGAATGTGTCTCCTCAAAGCTGAGCAGAGAGTGTATTTAAAATATGGAGACTGCAGTGTTGCCTCAGAGAAGGGAAGGTTGCTATAAATGTGGAGAGCTCCAACTGTGTGTCCTGGGCTCCCCCAGAAGCCCATGTGTGCAGTTCTCTTAGTACCTTTTCTTGGAAACCTGCAGGCTAGGCTGGCCACATGGCCTTTGAACACAGGAAACAGAGCTCACCAGCCGCACATGTGGGATTTAGCTCTTCTGTCTGTGGTAGCCCAGGGTGCGGTGAGAATTATTCAAGTATTACGTCCAGAGAGCAGTTTAAGCAGGATATGTACCTGGTGGGCACCTCGAAGGTTCTCTCTAGGGACTGTGAAGTTTCTGGGACTCTGGAACTAATTTCAGCAGATGTTGATATGAATTTATGCATTTGGGGACCAGGGCAGGATGCAAACCCAGAGAGATGTCCATTGTGGTGTCTCAGGAAGAGACACCTGAGTGAGATGCTGGATCAAGGAGGGCATGTTAGAGGCTGCCGGGCCAGAGATGGAGGGTGAGTTAGTCAGTGTTCTCTAGAATAACAAAGCAACAGGATGAATGCCTCTATGTCTGTAGTGAAGATTATTGTATTTGAAAACTATCTAAAAGGAGGTTTGTTACGTTGGCTCACACGATCAAGGCTGTGTAGTCCAACTATGGCTGTCTGCATGCTGGAGAGGCAGAGGATCCCCTAGAGACTCAGCTCAAGAAGCAGGGAGCCTTAGAACAAGACGGACCAAGATGCCTCAGTCTGGGGTGAAAACATGGAAGCTCCCTGGAGAGCCGCTGGCATGAGTATGTTTAAAGGCTAAAGAAGATGGAGTCTGATGTCCATGGGCCATTGTGGCCAGGATAGATGTATCCTCTCAGGAAGTATGAGGCTTGTGGATGCTGGCTGTTATCCCTCTTCCTCACTGCATTCCTCTGGGCACCAGCCCGATTGTATGCTGCTGCCCTCATTCAAGGTGGGCCTGCCCTTTTTCTTTACCACACTGTGTATTAGTCATCTCTGGAAAGATGCACACGGACAGACCCAGAAGTACTTTTCTGGTCTCAGGAATTTCTCAGTTCAGTCAAGTTAACAACCAAGATCAAGTGTCAGAGGGCCATCATGAGGTCTGAGATGAAAGATTTCCCCTTCCTTCTCTTTATCCTCTCGTCTCTCCAAGAAGGGTCAAGCATAGCAATTCCCTTACCAGCCCTAGGCCAGGTCAGAAATCAGCAGAGGGAAGCAAGCCTTTAGTGGCAAATGAAGCAGATACCCCTTATAATCCCTGAACCTGCACCGTCAAATGACATTAACCTGCAAAGAGAGCGAACCTGTGGAGGGCATGCAAATGTATGTATATGTGGACAACATGTATCCTACAGAGGCTATGTACCTGTGTATGAATTTTCCCATGTGTATGGACATGTACCTACATAGGTGAATCCAAGATGCATATGGTATACAAGAAGATATGTATACCAAGCCCACAGCTAGCCATGGGGAAGACAGGAAGGGTCAGACATGCCAATGACAAAGGGCTGTTGGGTCCTAGCACCATGGAGCATCCTAGCACATCAGGTCCTGATAGACCAAGAAGGGTACTTGTGAAACCTCAGTGGCCTACAGGACAGGCAAGGCCTGATTCATGGAGGGTGACACCTATGCTCCGGGCCTCTGAGGCAGGATACTCTTGGGTCTGGCTTTTATTGACTACAGCTGGGGGTTTGGTCTTGAGCAGGTGACAAAGAAATAGGGCTCGTATTGGTGACTACCATCTACTATGGTTACAGGCATGTTCTCATCTAAAGTAACCTTCAATTGCTTTGTAGCTGTTTCCCAAGGGAAGCGAGAGGGCTCCTGGCACTTCCTGGATGGGCTAGTCTTATGGTTTCTCTGTCTCTGGCCCCAGAAAGAGGGGAACAACCATCCTGCTGTCTTTGCTCTCAGGGGCTGTTTCCATGGCTCCAGCATGTCCATGGTTCCAAGTCTGATGAACATTCTGTTCAAGGAAAGGGGGTAGTAGACAGAGCTTGAGCAGAGCCTCCTTCTTAGTCCATAGGGTCCCAACATGCCAGCGTACAGTGATGACGAAGTTAATGCTAGACTCTGCAAAGGTTTTCTGTTAGCTGCAAGCAAGTACCTTGGCATCACTGAGATCAGAAGTAAACTAAAGCCACGAATGCTCAGTTCTCATGTGTGGTCACCCCAGGAGGCATGGAGGGCCTTCTGTCAGCAACTGGGTAGCTCAGTGTTGCCCATGCAGCATAGGGACACAAGTCCTCAGACTAGCTAAGCTCCAGCCAGAGATACCATCAGAGAGCAGTTGCCCTGGGCCTACCTATATTATACATAATATATAATTATATATTATTACATATAAGTCTCTATATTAGTCTCACCCTCATGACTGGACCCATTTACCTCAGCACTTTGCTCTACTACCCCATGCTACTGGTTTCCATATTCAGCACAGTGCCTCCCAATTCCTGCCCCCAGACTCCCTCCCCAACCCCCTTACTGTGCCATCTCTGTCCAGCCCTCAGGTCACTTATACCAGATCATCTCCAGCCTGGAGCCTGGTGAAGAAGATTTACAGGACACATGAAAGGTATGTCTGGGGTCATGGGTTTCTTGGGCTCAGGTGATGGAAGGGTTCGTGAACAGTCTTGGATACCTGAGCAAGGGCTGCTTAGGGTACGGTGGCTGGTCTGCACCTGGGCATGGCAGGGCCTTCTTGGTCACCTGTTTGTAGATGTTCCTGGCAGTCACCCCGATCCACAACATGGTAGAAAGCGTGGAATAGTGCAGCGCAATGCCCACCTGGGAGAAGAGAATGTCTGCCAGTCACCTCCTCCAGTCACCTGCCCCAGCACGCACAGCAGATTCCTTGCGTGCTGCCCAGACTTTCTGGGCCATGAGTATACTGAACGCTGATAGCTGCTCTGCAGTTCTTTAGGGACAATAAAAAAAAAAGTGAGACCAGTAGGAGAACAGGTGGGGAAGGAGTCAGAGGCAGCTGAGACTCTTACACTGTTCAGCTATCTGCTGTGTATGTGGACCTGTGGGAGGCTTGTGGGTTTGCATACTAGTTTCCTGTCTTCGGGATGTCTATGTCATCTTTATGTATGGGCTCTGGTGTGCACACTTATTTGTGAACCCTGGCCCCACTTTGGACCCCCCAAGTGGAAGGCAGGCACAGCTGCACAGCAGGGCTCCTGACATGTATTCACTAGGCACTGAATTTAAGGAAAGGCACCTCAGGGATGAGACTCTGATAACCCACCCTTGAACGTCACAGTGACTCATTGCTATGGAAACAGCCGCTGGAGCTGGTCCCAGCCAGCACTTTTACGCTAGCTAATTACGCATTCTGCACTGCTTCATCTCCATCTGATTCCATAAAATAAGGCTACCTTTGAGGTACTAACCTGACATTTTGAAATGGCAAGTAAAATATTGCTATAATCGGAAAGGACATAAATGTTTAAGGAATTCCTTAAATGTTTAAGAGATTTCCTGAATAAAGCTAACATCGCACCATTATAATGATTTATCGAATCCAGAGTTCAATTTTTACTTATGAGCAAATGCTATAATAATTGATGAGGATTTGGGGCAGGGTGGGGGTTGGAGATATTGAAGAACTGTTTATGGTTTCAGATGGCTTTATGGGTACAGTGCCGCATGTCCTGTGAGTTCAGTCTTCTCTTGGCTTTGCTGCTGCTCAGGTGAGGTGGGCCACATGGACATTCCAGTCACACTGGGCTCACCTCTCCTGAGTGAAGTAGGAGGCCCCAGACCTGGGTGGCAAGAGCTGTTTGCCATCTAAGAGTTCAATGAGAGGCAAGCAGAAAAGAGCAGGTTGGCATGGCTTAAAGGAAGGTCTGCAGCGTGGCTGTCACTGTCATAGACAGACAGAAATGTCAGACTCATCCTCAGAAGGGCCCCTGACTATTGCCCTTGGGACATTAGTTCAGGGCCTTGAGGTGGGTGGGAGCACAGCTGGGAGGAGTGAAAGAGGGGAGGCCTGGCTGCTTCCTCCCTTAAGCTGAGTCTCATCCAGGCTGTATGGTCAGGGAACAGAAAGTGTACAAACACAGGCGTTGTCTCTTAAACACCAACTTGAGGCAGAACACATAGGGAGGTCAAGGGACGCCGCTTGGCTTCCAGACAGCATGTGCTATTGAGAGGAAGAAGCAGGCAGGACACCCTCCCTTGCTTCCGGACCCAGGGCCAGCACTGACGCACATTCATTATGTGGGACTAACAGCAGCCGTCTGCTTTGTTTATGATGTCACTTAGTACTTTAATGAGACTCACGGTCATCTTTCTGTTGCTATGACAACTGTCTGTTCTCACCAGCCATCCAGAGCTCCGGACCACTTCTCCTGGTTGTTCTGTGATGATGCTGAGCTTGGATGGGGAGGGGCTGGGACTCCTGTAACGCAGTCGCTTGGTTGCTGATCAAAGTGGGGACACATCTAGCTTCTAATGATCTCGTCTTTTAGCCTGCTCCTCTCAGGTAGCTCCCTCTTAGCAGGTAAGGTAGGGGAGCAGGTGTGATGAGTGAGGGGGCATGCTTCTGACCTGTCAGGCTGCTGATTAAAACCAGCCTGGCTTTTGGCTCAGGGAGACCTCAGGAGCAATAGACACCCTCACTTCTTTGTATAGGCATGGAGACATTTAAAAATGTCCTGGTGCGATGGAGATTGCTATCTGGAGTGCTTTGTGGGAGCCGGACTCCCCTTTAGCTCTTGGTTTCCCTGAGGTCTCCCGACTCCTCTACCCTTGCAGCAGCAGTTCAGGATCTCCAAAAAACTAACTGGCTGTGTGGCTTTTTGATCCTTAGTCTTCTGTCTACAATTTCCCCAACATAGCCCGGCAGATACAATTCCATTGGTCCCACACTGCTAACACTGCCGGTGCCTGGCAGGTGTGTCACCAAGTAAGGGATGAATAGAGAGGCTGGACGTTTCAGGGAAAGCCACCAGAGACTAGGAGGTGCCTGTTTTCTGCAGTCCACCCTACTCCAGCACACCGGTCCATCGTCTGGAGTCCTAACATCGTTACTAAGGACTTCTCATCAGAGAACGGACGACCCTTATAGATCTTAGCTCGGAGGGTATTTCCAGGTCCATTTGTCCCCACCAACCAAATCTCTCTTCCAGGTCCTGCCCCAGTGGAATTCTGGAATGCTATGGGTACCTGGATCCCTGGGACTTCATGGGATTAGCCTGAGCCTGGGGCCAGTGCTAGATTTTATGGAGGCCCTAAGATGATTCCAATGACTGTGTGGCCAGCAGGCCTCAGCTGTGCAGCACTTGGTGGCAGAGTGAAGACATAAAGATAACGACCCACTCAATTGCCTTTTTGATGGCTTCTGGGCAAGTTTTTATAGCAGTAGTGAGTGGGATTTCCTAGCCCTCACTATGGTTGTTTCTAGCTTAACAGAGGCAACAATGGAGGAAACTGTCTTCTCTCCCATACAGGCATGTGGCATAGCCTCTTCTGCAAGTCTGGCTCAGGCCTGGGTAATAGCCTGGCTTCCTGGGGTTTGATGTATCACACAGGGGACAAGAGCATGGGTTGTGTCTTTCAAGTGTGGGTGTCATGCTCCCAGAACTCTCTGGGACTCAAATGGTATCACTGTAGGGAAACAAAATAGCAGTGGCCGAATCAGTTCGAGCCTGCCTGAGCTAGGTGGGTCTGGATGGGAACCAGGGAGAGAGGAGGGTGTGTCCTGTTAGCTAGGCTGTTCTAGGAATAGCCTATTGCCCATTGATTCTCAGGATAAGCTTCATCTGCAGCTAGCTACCCATGCAGAAGCACAGGTCATGGGAGAGACCAGGGAACTGATATTGTGGTTATTGTCACTAATGTGGGTCATGCAGTTCTCAGGTTGGCTGGAGTCATTTCTGCAGCTGCCAATAGCTATTTGCTGAATTTGCAACAGTTAGGGATACCTGAGGACCCATGGCGCAGGGAAGATGTTGGCCATGAAATGACAGAAACCATCAAGCTTTTCGGTAAGTTGCTCTGGGTCTCTGTCTGTCCTCACTCTCAGAGCTTAGGTGCGGAACAGGACAAACACAGACTCCTTGCTGGAGGTGCACTTGGCTCTTCTCCTTGCCCCAGAGCCACAACCCCAAAAGACAGTCCTGGGCTTGGCTTTGGAAGGAGTCTCTAGCATCATCTTAGCCACATGCCACAGATCCCGTCTATTTCCCTACTTAAGATGCTCAAACCAAGCCACGTGTGTGAAGATGATCTGCCTTGTGATCTGAGCTATTCTTTCCCATGCTGGCTGTTTCAAAGCCCCCCCCCCCCTTTTCCTAAGAAAGAACAGATATGCCTGGGATGCTCTGCCTGCTTCATGTAGGGAAAGAGCCCCTGCTGCTACTGGTAGCTATGGCTGGCAGGTCTGCTGGCCAGGGTGAGGGCAGCACTGGAAGGTCTCACTCAGCCCACCCCTGGGTCCTGCCTCACTGGTATGTGGGAGAGGCGTCATGTCCCCATTCTTGTGAAGATCCACATTTGCTGGACAGTAGCTGTCTAGGTGTGTGGCCCTCTAGTCCTTAGATAAGCTGCTCTAGGGAAAAACAAAATTATTTCATGTGGCCAAATATTGGGCAAAATAACCTGCTCCCAGTGGATGGATTATAATACGGAGCCTCTATAGAAGCCTCAGTCTCCCCGGGAGCAACAGCTGAACAAGCACTAAGGTATTACTTTATAAGCAAATTAACATACGTTTCTGCTGTGATAAGAAGACTGTCATGCACACTTTTGTCTTTTTAGCACAGGGAAGGCAGCACTCACCGCTTGGCACAGGATGGGGTGTTTGGTGCGATTGATGCCACCAGCAAAGACGGTGAAGGTCAGAGCCGCATGGAAGCAGAAGTTGAGGAGTGCGTGCCGGCCTTTCCGGCTTATCCGGATAGCACTGTGGGAAACAGAGATTTCACGTTAAAAGCCAGAGAAAAGCCTGGAAAGACCACACTAGTCCATAGTAGGAACAGTAGGCTCTCAGCAGGACTGGGAGTAACCTATCCGAAAGATCAGACCATGAGAAAGATAGAGAGCTGGGCCATGTCCACATCAGCAGGTTCTCACAGGTGCAATGCTTGCAAAGGCTTTTGTAGAGTTTCTACCCCTATGCCCATTGACAGAGTCTGGCTTGCCTGGGGTCTCAGAGGGGAAAGTCACACTCCTGATTCCTGGGACTCCTTCTTCTCACTCTGAGTAGATGTCTGATCCACAGAGAGGGCCAGATTATATAACTATAAGTTTAATTACTGTTGGTTATGATAATGTCCATGGTCACCGGCATGTCTAACATTCTGCCTAGTCAGCCAGGGCAGGGCCAGCATTGTTCAGCCTATGACTCTTGGCTCCATCATGGCTGTGTACCTGTCCAAGTCTCATCTTACAGCTTCTGTGGTTTGGGTGTGCTTCTCAAATTCTCTGAGGAAGGAGGTGGGGAAGATGGCTCAGTGGTTAAGAGCACTGGCTGCTCTTCCAGAGGTCCTGAGTTCAGTTCCCAGCAACCACATGGCGGCTCACAACCATCTGTAATGGGATCCAATGCCCTCTTCTGGTGGTGTCTCTGAAGACAGCTACACTGTACTCATGTAATTAAATAAATCCTTTAAAGAAATCTCTGTTGAAACTCGATTGTCAGCACAATGGTATTAGGAGATGGTTGTTGGGACGGAGTTCTCATGAATAGGTTTAGTGCCCTTATCAACGAGGCTCCTGAGGGCTCCCTTCTCATTATACAACTGGAGGACTCAGAGAGAATGCCATTCGTATACCAAGACATGAGTTCTCATCAGATATCAAACCTGCTCAGTACGCTCGCTCTTGACTTCCAATTTCTAGAAACAATTTCTATTTAGCCATTGTTATCAACCAGTCATCTTATGGTAACTTGTTAGAGCTGCCAAAGTAGACTGAGAACAGTTTTGGATTAATCTTCTCCCTCCACAGTGGCCTTGACATACCAAGTCTCTGCTTGTTACTGCCTATGGCCTAGGCCTAGGCACTATTCATAATTTTAATGCTGGGTTTGGCTGTGGCTGTGGCTGGGATCACCTTCTCCTATATCCGTGTGCATCTTCTATGGATTCAGGCGCACAGACGTCACACACATCTTGTTCCCAGACACAGGCATCCAGAAAAAAACTCAGAAGTAGACATCTGTGCAGAAGGTCCTGAGATAAAAAGTCACAATAGAGAGAGGACTTCAAGGACCCTGCAAACATGACCATGACCTGGGATGCTGGGACCAACATGCTTCCATTTCAGTATGGACTTATTTCACACAGTTTTACAAGAACACAGAGGCTGATGTTAAGAAGTCCCGGTTGGGGCTAAGAGATGGCTCAATCTTTAAGAGCACTTGGGGTTTTTTCAGAGGTCTTGGATTTGGTTTTCAGCATCCACATGGTGGCTTGTAATCATCCTTAACTCTAGTTCAAGGGGATCAGGCACCCTCTTCTGGCCTTCTTGGGCCATACCAGGCACATACACAGAACACATACATACATATAGGCAAACCACTCGTACCCATAAAATATAAATAAATAAATAAATAAATAAATAAATCTCAAGACCCAGGATGGAAGGATTGAGTTTTCACCAGTACTATGCCTTTGTGGCCACTGTGCTGGGTAGGGTGGGGTGGGCTTCCGTACCTCTGATGCAGGATATAGGTGATGACAGAGGCAAGGAGACACAGGAGCATGACCGCAGTGCAGGCATACACCACGGGATGCAGGAACTCCCCTGGGTACTGGGGCAGGGAGAGGACAGTCTTCAAATCCTGGAAAGGAAGCAGAGTTGAGTGACTGATATGGCCAGGATTCTTTATGTGATTTGTCAGGTATCTCAGGAGTGGTCAGGCTGGTAGCAGAGAGGAACTCTCTTCAGTGACAACTCATGTAGGAAGGGTGTAGGGTATAGTATCCCCGGAGCCCACCTGGGGTTGGTGTCTTCCCAGGGCTGCTCAGTTGAGAGCATCTTCCTGTGACTCTGAGAGCAGCTCCTAGAGGCAGCATTTCTACAGTGCCTATATCTGCCTCCAGACTTCTCTCTATCCATGTCACAGATAGAGGGCAGGCAGGCGCCAGCTTCCACTTCGTGTGTATCTGCTGCCTTCAAACAGCTGCAGAACACGCAGCCTCCCAACCCACTTCTGCACCCCACTCTCATTGACATTATGCTTTTAAATGGCTCCCTGGGGGAAATTCTCTACCAGTTTTCAGCAAGTCCTGGCGGCATTAACCTGAGCAGATGGAGAAAGAGAAGTTGTTATAAGCAATAGGTGTGGCCTCAGAACCTTTTCTGGCTTCATCCACTGTACTGTGTATCAGAACTGAAGTAAAGGGTTGGATGCCACAGTTCAAATGAAAGCATGGCTTTCTTGTGGTAGGGCAACACAGAGGAACGGATGTCTGGGTTGGAAATCCTTAGGGCCCTGAGGTAGGTGTCCTTGCCACTATCTTTGGGACAAGAGAGTCAGATCTCTGCTTGACCTTGAAGAGACCTTTGGTCAGTGGGCATCTAGGGCTCGTGACCACAGTGTCTTTATACCTATTACACTTTTGGGTTATAGCTTATAGAAGTTTGAGGGCTAAGTGTGGACATGGGTAGCACATGAACAACTCTCTGGAGGACACAAGACTCAAAAGGTAGGTGCCACGTGGCCTGTGTCCATCCTTGGTCATGATTTCCTAATGAGACATTGCAAAGCTAGCTCTAGAGCAGGTACACTGTACTTTTCTCTATTGGAGGTCCCCACATCCTACCTGCTTGATCAGGAAACTTTCCACACTTGGCCCAAAGTCCTGGGAAGGGAACTCTGCAGTCTGGATATCTACAGGATGGCCCAGCTAAGGAAGAATGCCCATCACATCTCTGCCCCGCAAAAGCCCTCAGAAGTGCTGGCCAGGCAACAATTTCAGGAGGAGCCTGTGCCTGAGTAAGGACAAGGTACCTGCAATGGGTTGGGGGATTTCTGAAGGGGGTGAGTGTACTGTTTCTCCAAGGAGTGTTTCTTCAACCGGACCTTTCTTTCTGGACACCCAGCGCCTCATTTGGTGGTTCAGCTCAGTTATGTGGCATACTTAGGACATTTGCCCATGGGTATATTTAGGAACACAGCCAGAGACGACCTCACTCTCCAAGCAATAAGAGCCTCCATTAAGATCTCCTGAATGCCCCTGACTTCAAAGCCTCAGATGCTTTTCTGCAGTGTGTTAAGTGGAGGGATCCAGACCCAGTGTAGAGCAGCCGCTTTCCGGATACTTGGTCTGCAGGGGAGACCACATGTCTTTCCTTGGTGTCTGTCTGAAGGGAATTTACTCTGTGGTGACAGAGGACACTCTGGATCCTGTGAGCACCAAGGCCATTATTCTTTTTGTCTCGGCTCAGCTGCTTCCTGTCAGACAGAAGCCAACTTCTGAGTCATGGGGAGCATGCTTCCTGATGAGATCAGGATATCCACATACCTGATGAGCTTGTGCTACTGGGAGCTGGAGTGCCCCATGGGGTTCTAAGTGCACATGGGTCCACTTGGACTCAGGCTCCTATGCACATGGGTCTTTTCATGGGAGTCTTAGAATTTTGACCCATTTTTACCATTGTTGAGGTGGGGAGAGGGAGAGACTATGGGAGCAAGAAAGAGAGAGAGACAGAGACACAGAGAGAGACAGAGAGAGAGAGAGAGAGAGAGAGAGAGAGAGAAAGAGAGAGAGGAGGGGAGAGACTATGAGAGCAAGAGAGAGAGAGAGAGAGAGAGACAGAGAGACAGAGAGACAGAGAGAGAGAGACAGAGAGAGAGAGAGAGAGAGAAGAGAGAGAGAAGAGAGAACAAAAGTAAGCTTCCAAGTACAGTCCTTGCCTTTCTGGCTCGGTCTCTTCCCTGGCACTAAAACTCCACAATGAAGGCCTATCCATGGCTTCCAAGTGTTCCACGCCCCACGTCATCATCATCGTTACTGTGTATATGGGGTGTGAGGACGTCACAGGGGCTTGTGTCCCTGATATCAGACTCTTGTGATGGGAGGGATCTCAGGCAGCCACAGAGGGCAGAGGGCTCAGCTCTAACCAGAGCGGTGCTTGCAGTGTCGCTGGTGTTCTGTGTTGAGAGCACTGTTCCACATTCTCATCCTCTGTTCCTATAGGAATACCCGATCTATGGCTTGGATTCATATAGCAAAGCCTCACAGGAGGCTAAGTAACAGAACAGAACTGTCTTCATGTAGCAGGCAGAAACCTTAGAGAGCCAGCTTGCTATACAGTGATTTTTTTCTAGGATGCTGTCCAGACAGGATCACACAGTCCTGGGCTGGTTCATTCTTAGCTGGATATTCACAGCGGGAGGCCTCTGATCCTTTGGAGGCTCTGTAAGCTTTGGAGACCTGGCCTGGAGGGGGTTGGAGTCACTTATATGAAGACAGATTTCAGATACTAGGGACAGGATAACCCAGGGAATGACCAATGAGCTTGGTAAAAAAAAATAGGGTTTGGTTTGGCTTCCTGCTTATTTGTATCAGAATGATCAGCAGTGCCTTTCTGCATTTTTAGAGGTGACATTTAAAATTCAAAGTAGGCAATGCAAAATGGAGATGCATTTCATATTTTAAAGTTCACACATGGGCAAGTTCCTCTCAAGGAGTCTACTGTGCAAATGTTCCTTGGGCAAGATTCCAGTGATCTGACATGGGGTCAGGCAAAAGCTGCCTGGCTTGAGGACAGTTCCCTCTGTAGCTGTGGAGCCAGAGCATTCTCTGGAGCAGTGAGGGAGAGCAGAGCTTGCCTCTTAGGTCACCATATAGGAGCTCTCAAATGACCAAAGCCTGTTGTCCAGCCAGCTGTCACTTGCTCCCACAAATTACGGCTAACATGCTGATAAGCACATGCTCCTGGCTGCCGGCTACCCAGTTACCACACATGTTCCACAGGAGCTCTACATCAGTGAAGTCTGACGTGGAGGTCATGTTGACACTCGAGAGGATGCTGAGCTCATTACCATCTCATTACAGTGGTACAGATATACACACCGAGCAGTCAAAGATCCTAATGTATAACCGTGTCGGGGTGGGGGGGAAGGTGGTGCTCGGTTTCCTGGAAGTCTCCTCCCTTTTCTGATGACAGCAGGAAATACCGAACTGTCAGAATTCAGGCCTAGTGAAAACCTGTACCCGAGAGCAGCCTGGGAGCCTCTAGGGTTCTTTATTTTTTCTGTTCATGGACCACTGGATAACACTTCCTGCTTACTCCTCAGACCTGTTGTTGGGGGATGCTATCATCTTGAAGTAGGAAAAGTACCCGTAGATTCAGTAACACGGAGGAAGGACCAATCCAGAGAACCCTCAGAAGCAGGGTGAATTACAGTGAGGGCTGCCTCTAACCAGCTAGGTCCAGGTGACATACTGTTTGCATTTTCTGCAGGATGGGCTGATTGCTTTCAGAAGCTACTTTGGACATCTCTCTACTCCCTTAAGCTGGGTGCTCAGCCAACACTCCCATGAATATCCCCACTGTGGTGGTTTGAGTAAGAATGGGCCTCACAGGCTCACAAATACATAGTCACTAGCACACCTATTTGAAAGGATTAGAAGGATTAGGAGGTGCAGCCTTATTGGAGGAAGTGTGTCGTGGGCTGAGCTTTGAGGTTTTAAAATCCCAAGCCAAGCCCAGTGTCTCCCAAGGATCAAGATATAGCTCTTAGCCAAACTTGCCTGTTGTCACATTCCCTGCCATGAGGATAATGGACTACATCTCTGAAACTGAAAACAAAGCTCCCAGTTAAATGTCCTCTTCTATAAGCACTGCCTTGGTGTCTCATCACAGCAACAGAACAGTGGCTAAGACACCTGCTCTAACATGCAGTAAGAGGTATCCTCTTTTGAATCACGGCTTCCATTCACATTTTCATTGTATTTTTAGTTGATGTATCCTTTAAGCGTGTTCTGCCAATAAAACGAGTCAGGAAGTTATGGAGGACAAGAAGAAAGGAGGGAAGGAGGCAGACAGTTCAATTAAGTAATATGAAAGCTCGTGGTGACCGTGAGAAGTGGAAAAGGAGTCTCTTGAACCTGTGATGCCAAATCTGAAGGCACATGGCTCTCTGACTTGGAAACTTTGAATAGAGGGAACAACTGGATCTTTCTGATTCTTCCTCTGGTTTGTTCTCTCTCTCCCTCCTTCCTCCCTCTTCCTTCCTTCCTTTTTCCTTATTTATTTATTTATTTTTTATGGTTCTCTTCCTCTCTGTGTGTGTCTGTTTGTGAATGTGTGTTGCAGTGTATGTGTGTGTGATGTATGCATACATGTATGTACAGAAGCATGTGCCTCTCTGCATATGTATAAAAGCCAGAGGAGGCCATCACGTGTCCTGTTTTACCACTTTCTCCCTTAGTCCTTTGAGTCAGTCTTTGAGTGTAACTGGAGCTGGCCTTGTGGCAGGTTAGCTCTGACAACCCTCCCGTCTTTGTTGGGGTTATGGGATCATGTAGTCATGCCTGTTTTATTTGTTTTGTTTTACATAAGTGATAGGCTTGAACGTGGGCTCCTGTGTTTTGCACAGCGAGTTGTCTTACCCACTGAGTCATCTCCTCAGCCTCGGTTCTTCTTTCGACTTAGTTTTCCTGGGTAATCTTCCTTGTCTCCATCTGTGGTTTCGTTCTCTCTTGTTCTGTGGCAGGGTCTCACTCGGTAGCTGCCTCAGCTTCTCAAGTGCTGGACTCACCAGCGTGAGTCACTGTGTGCAGCTTTCTTACTCTTCTTGCTCCCCTCTGGTCAGTTATTTTTTCTTTTCTGGTTCTGTGCCAACCCAGACTGGCTTCAATAGAGCCTGATGCATTTCCTTGCCTGTCTTTTCAGTGATAACTGGATCTTATCGATTGATCAGCCTTCCATGGGACAAGCAGAAGGTAAGTCACTCATTCTCTCAGATTGCCAGTGGATGTTACATGAATATAGTTTGCTGTGATTTTCTTTTTAGAGGGATACATGGGACGGTGAAATGATGGAGAGATTTGAAGAAAGACATTTTGAAGAGTATTATGGAGGTTTCCTTCTAGGCTGGCAGTTGCTTTCTTAGTGTGGATAGTTCAGGGGAATGTTGAGATCGGAAAGGCTCTCTGTCTGACAGAACGGTAGCTCTTTGACGTTTCTAGCCATTTAGACCTTGGGATGAACAAAAAGAAAAAGAAAAAAACAAAACAAAACAAATAAAACAAAAGGCAAAAGCAAAAAACAAAACCCAACAGACCCCAATAAATCCTGAGAGTAGAAGTTCTGAGCTGCTTGATAAACATAGTGATCTTTCTCACCTGCCTGTAAGGGGAGGCAGGGCCATTTGCTGGCTCCTGAGTACCACAGGCCTAGCTAGGCTGAAGCGAACCTACCACATTTGGGCTCATATATGTCTCATAGCTTAGGGCTACAGATCTCCCTTCACCCATGGGCTCAGAGCCGATTGCACACAGGTAAAGCTCCTGTGCGTCTGAAAGTGCCCCACTGCCAGCCTTTGTGACCCTCATGCACCATGGGGAGGAAGGCAGTGCCTCGGGGCTTGTCTGAGCTCCATAGAGTTGCAGAGTCACAGTGCGAAGTCGACTCTTTATACATCTTTCCACTACCTTTGGCATTGAAAATCATGTCATGTCTTATTATATATTTATTGATTTAATCAATTATTAGCATGTTGTGTATGTGTGTGCGTGTAATATGTGTATGCATGGTGTGTGGTGTGTGTGTGTAGTATGTGTGTGCATGGTGTGTGTGGTGTGTGTGTGCATGGTGTGTGGTGTGTGTGTGTAGTATGTGTGTGCATGGTGTGTGTAGTATGTGTGTGCATGGTGTGTGTGGTGTGTGTGTGTAGTATGTGTGTGGATGGTGTGTGGGGTGTGTGTGTCTGGGTGGGCAGGGTTTGATACCACGGAACCCACGTAAAAGTGAAGGGAGAGATGACCCCACAAAGTTATCCTCTGACCTCGACACAGGATCCATGGCATGAGCATACTACATACACACACCACACGATGCACACCCAGAATACACACACATCTGTTCCCACGGAACGCGCTCTTCCCTAGGCCCCCTCATGCTAAGACCATCCTTCATCGAACTACACCAAGGAATATCGTCATAAACCACACTGTGTCATCCCATACCACACACGCCCACCTCGTGTGGCCCCACACCACACCAGTCCTCACCCGATTCCACACCCCGCTGTCCCACAGCACAGTGTTCAACCCCAGTACCCGTCATACGACCATGTCATCCTTTGCCATTTCCTCCACACACTTCTACGCACTGTACATGAGCACTGTCTTGGACGATAACTCTATATCACAGCACACTGGTTTTGAGACAAGGTCTTCCTTGTGTAGCCCAGGCTGGCCTTAGACACATGTCAATTTTCTTGCCTCAGCCTCCTGAATTTTGAGATGACAGGCATGACCCACCACTCCCAGTTTATAGCACGACACCACTGTGTCACGCATCCCACTGCATACATTATCCACCGTTCGATGCATGCCACCCTCGCACCCCACACCATTTATCTTATGTCACACCATTCTATACCATGCATCCCACACCACACTCTGTAACTCTGGTAACTCCATAACACCCCACCCCCACCCCTGCACACCGCACATTCTACATAACACATCCCGTGTCACACTATGCGACTCCTCACACCCCACAGCATATATTCCTACTACACATCACATGCTACACATTGTACAGCACACACCCTACATATTCCATCCCCCCCACCATACATTCAACACTGCATGCGTCCATGCAACAGTCTCACACAATACAACTCAACTTCATACCTCACATTCTATACTGAACAGCCCACAGCACAATCCTCCACACACATGTACACCACATAACACACACCCTACTACACACCCCACCCCACACACCCCACACACACCACACCACACACTATACACCACACCGCACACCACATCACATACCACGTCACACGCCATACACTACACACCCCACACACCACACACCACAGCACACACCACAC